TATTTGCAACAACAATTAAAACGTCTTAAAAATTTGCAAGTTTGATAATGGTGAATCTTACAGTTAAAGTGTTAGGTCAGTCAATTTTCCACACTAAACATTGCATTTTCACTAAAAACAAGCATAGCATTATATCCCACTTCAAACTGAGGTGCTTCTTCAAATTTCTTCTTCGATTTCACAATTCAAGTATTGTAAAAGTGCACCTGCACGCACCTATGAAAACAGATTTTGTACAATCTAACTAACACTATACAAAAAGTTTAAAACAATGTTTTAGAAACATATTTGAACTGACTTATTATTCCAGTCCTTGTATACTGTTTTCAGTTACTTCACTACTACAAGATACTGATGAAAGTAATTAATACATTTTACCAATGAAGAGTTGTCTAACACTGACACTTGGAAGAAAAGATTAAAAATATAACTTGGAAAAAAGTTTGTCTGAACTTATTATAAACTGCGTACTTGAAAACTGGATGCAACGAAATTCTCACTGCGTGAATACATGGTTGAGTCCAATCCTTTCTACACATTATAACAATCATCCACTTCTTCAATAAAGTTTTATCTTGTAATGAAAACCTAGTAGAAAAAGGGATTTCTCTAAGTTCAAACAGATTATTAGTTTATAAACATAGCATAAGTGGTAACAATAGCTATTTAGTATTACAAATAAGTCGAAGTTTAAAATGTCAACAGAGTGCTGTTTCCCCTGTATTAACAGTTCAACCATCTCTAAACTGACTAGTTAAGCACACATCATCATTCATTCGTTAATGTGTAAAAATACTTAAGCTACCAGTAATTTACTAATATATATATACAGCTTACGACTAAATTTTATTTTCAGATAACTAAAATCAAATGCAAAATTATCAACACTTACATACCTATGAAAAGAGACCGGTGTATCTTCCATTTTAGAAACGTTTGAGCACCCACATACACAAGTTAGGTAGCATTCTTACAGCATTTATACCTCTGACCAAATGGCGCTTGGTTGGTACGACCCGTGAATGGCATCAATCTCTTCAGTTATACAGAGCTTACTTGGACTTAGTAACACATGAAGATAGCCCCCCCCCCCACTACCCAATAAATATCTATTTACTGACGCCATTGACGTAGCTACAAAAATTTGGCCCCAAGCGGAATTTTACAATAGACCTCCCATCGCCGAAATATATGTATACACAACATTATGTATCATTAATTAAAACTAAGGTTGCGGGCTTTCAGATGTTCAAAGTCCTCAATCATCTATTAATTTTCATTATCTGATCGTGTGCGCCTTTAATGCACACCAACCTTAGTCCTTTCAGTCCTTCTTGGCTCACTGAATTTTTCCTGTGATTCTTGATCACTTGTGCCTTGAAAAAGATCTCTTCGCACTCTCGCTGTCACTTTCAGAAATATAACACAAACATTACTCAGATTGGTAAAACATGGAGTATACATTCAACTATTACTTAATGAGCAAGGTCTGTGACCGAAGTTTCATCGAAATACTATTATTTAAAACTGAGAATGGCTGCATGAGAGCAGATGGTGATAGCTTGCTTGTTTGCTTCAGAATATAGGGCAAAGTTATATCTGTGCAAAGTGTAACGAATTTGTTATATATATTTATTTTAATATCGACGTTGTTTAGTTTAAACTTATATTTAAAAGCATGCATAGTTTATCGTGTTAAATATGTACTGCAAAACTTCCGCCTATTCTCCAAATTTGTAGAAGATTCTCGAGAGTAAGAATCAACAATACATGTGTATACGTAAACGCTTAAACTTGTATTGCTACGTAATCTGAATTTTCGAGAAACTCTCCACACGTCTATAAATATAACCAACGTGACGCGCCAAAAAAAAAAAGAGTATCTATTAATGATTTGCTACAGTTGGTGTGCTATAAACTTCGGAAGCTATAACTGTGATTGTTACAACGCTTATTAATCGGAAAACTTAAGATATTTGACCAGGAACGTTTATAAATTTCGAACATTACAAATCGTTTAACTTCAGTGGATTCACATCGGACATTAATACTTTTACGAAAACATTACCTAACGTCATCGGTGGAAACTCAATCTCTAATAAGCGTATGATCAGCGAGAACTACGGGGCTAGCTAGCTCCCTACTAAGTGAATTGTACCTATATCAACTCGTAATCAACTCTCTTATCGTGAACCCTCGATAAGATATCAAGGACGTTCCAAACTAGAAAGAAGACTTTATATTGTGAAACTTTTGTTTATAAATCATTGTTTGTAATAACTATTTATAATAATTGTTATTGTAAATTGTACTGTTGTGTGTATATTAAAATGTATTTGTGTTCAAAAAGAAAATTGTATGTATCAATCTTGTTGGCAAATATCATAAACTGACTATATATCGGCTTTTACTTAACTGCTAAATCTAAAGTAAAATTTAACTACTAAATTTATCAGTTAACTCAATTTCAGGCTAGTTGAAATTCTAATACGTAACAACAGCCATCCCTAATTTTGAACTGAGAGACAAATGTTTTTTT